ACTAAACTGGGACAAGTACAAAGCATTGAAATGAGCTCTCTGCATTTAACCCTCCTTGGGGAGCAGTTGGTTGACATTGTGTGGCGCACACGGAGCAGTGTGGGGTTAAGGGTCTCCGCCCTAACCGCTAGGCCACCGCTCCCCCTGATACCTCATATTAGAAAAATTTATTCAAAACAGTTGAATCATTGAAATCTGTCGATAATGATAATAAAGATCCTTGAACTTATATTGCCTCAGCTATCTTAGATAAATCACCAAGGCATTCAGACTCCTTCTGTATGAAAATAAATTCCACTTTGGGTTCATTATAGTTCTGTTCTTGAATGCATTAAGTCCAATCTTAAAAGTTAATCTCCATTAAACACCCGACAGAATCCTTTAAAAGCCTCTTAAAAGTTGTGGCCAGTATCTTTAATCACTTTCCTCTAGCCCTGACAAAACCTTAAGTAATCTATCCTCGCACTGCACATCGGTGAGGATGATTATTCTTATCCATGTTCTAACAAAACTCTGCTGGGACTTTTGAGTGACATTGAATAAAACATTAGAACTTATACCTTATTACAACCTGGAAAAGGTGCTCTATTATATATTCAACAATTACTTTAAGTTCTAACAAGCCTTTAATGAATAATATAGATTAGTCAATACAAGCAATTGGGAGAGCATAAGCTGTAGACATCCTGAAATTACAGAGGGGTATCAGAACGTAGTGTCTTAAAAACGTTTTACAGGGTCAAAGCTACAGACCTCCACACCTCATATAGCCTTCAGATTAGCTCTGGAAAAGAGAGGCAATTGAATATTTCTTGGAGACATGCTTGAAAAGTTCAGTTTGGGCAACTAGAAGTGAAGTTTTCTAGAAGTCTTGGATGAGAGGCATAATATCTGCTAGAAAATTTCACATCCAGTTGCCTAAACTGAGATTTCTAAGCCTGACTATTATCTGGATGATGGAAATCTTCAAAGATGTTTATAGAGACAGGATCATCTTTCCGGGTAAGTTACAGTATGTGAAGTGGACTATGGTGGTAGGCTGTTTTTTATGAGTTGGTCTCAGCTTCAATTCTCTCCATACCTTCACATTTTCAACAATTTCATTCTCCAAACCTTCTGACAACAGTTTAGAAACGGCTCCATAAAGAGATGGATGAGTGAGCTGGAGGTAAAGAGCTTTTGACTGGGCTGCTCAGGTTCTTGACGTCAAACTGGGAGAAAACATTCGGGACAAACATGGCCTTGTCCAACCTCGTTTTAAAAACATTAGACATCTGATTCTACCTGACCATGGTGTTCTAATTTTTAGCAGGAAGGAGCACAATAACCTAAACATCAGATTTGAACAAGACAAACTGTCTAAAGGCTTTAAGATGTTTCTCTAATCATGTTCACATGTAAATATCCATACGTTGAAATATGTGAGATAAAAACAGGTTTCTTGGCACGTCCTAATTTTTCACATATGTAATCAATGTTTAAAATATAAACGGAGAAAACTCATCTTCTTCTTTTAAACACTTAGATGTCGGCAGCTCTTTCTTTCACTGAATGAATAAATAGTCATCAGAGGGGAGTCATTACAAGCAACCTTCATCATAGGTCATTAGTGAAAGGCAGTACGTCTTGATGTTTAGTTTTTTTTATTCTGCCACATCAAATTCTCCCAAATAGCGATTGCGCATTTCCTAGTTCTCTGTTTTCCATATGCTGTGGTCTATTCCTGCCGTTTGCCATATAGCACACACAACATAAGAATTAGCATCCGCCAACAACATGGTATATGATGTGGGGAGACTTATTGTTCAATCAGAGGTGGACATAAAACAGGACTGTCGGTGCCTAATGTCTTTATTTTTACAGCCAAAACATTCACATGCAAAAATTTAGATAATTATAAAGGTAATGTCAGGTCATTCATCAAACCTCTTTGTATTGGTTTGTCTATTACCATGCGCCCTGGTGGGCCACGCTGCCCCGGTGGGCCAAGTGCACAGTTGCAGTCTTCTTCCTCGTCTTGTTCTGCTGTGGCTGTTCGATTCAGCGGACACTTTGGGAGAAAAGGAAAGATAATGTAAAGATAAAACAATCATATGAGCTAAAATTAGCCGTCAAGAAGCATCTGGCTTGATTCTGACTGGATATTTCTTATATTTCTTATATTTCTTCTCGTCTTTTACAATCCTTTGATCCATTGGTTATTTCTGTAGCTCAAATCCTGCATTTAAACTCACCGATTGAGCAACAGTGTCCAGGTTTGATCCATTAAATAACTGATTTGAGGGGATTTCGATAAGGAAGCTTGGTGTGGAACCAGTTCAAGAGGTTAAGTACAGTTAGTTGGCATCAGTCTTGCCCAAACACCCTTTAGCCCGCTCAACACCAGCCGTTGGGCAAAATGGATATGACTAGACTAGATTTTCACCCCAAATGCTGTTGGTTATGCTGGGACGTCAGACCTGGTTTACACTTTGACAGTAGCTGTATAACCAGGGCAGTCAATTTTTAAGACATGCTGACCAAATTAAATATTACAGACTGGTAAAAAAGTTAGTGTGCTAAAAAAGCTCCATTTAGTTAGCATCAATCAGTTTTTGGTTATCTGGTTCGGCATGATGGATAACTGCTAGGTTAGTGGGTAGCATCAAAGGGCAAGCTGTTGGTACTTGGGACTACTGTTTGCCAATCTAGGCTAGGCAAGGTAAGACAAGGCAAGGCGGGTATATATTTAGTACAAAGACAATTCAAAGTGCTTTACAGAAATTAAACAATAGAATAAAAGTAAAATAAAAGAATAAAGGCAAGCAAAGATAAAAACAGGTAGTAGAGCAAATAAAACAGTTGGACAAAAACCTTAACAGATAACAGTTTGTGTTTAATAGTCAAAGACAGTTTTAAACAAATGGCTTTTTAACTTTGACTTAAAAGCACTTTTACAGTCTTTAGTGTAGTAATTAATCACTGAGTCAAAATATGTAGAGTTGTCTTACATAGAATGGTGTCTAACCACTAAGGAAACAATGCAGTGAGTTGGTTGGTTAAACCAAGGCAGGTGGTGTGAGATTTTGTTTGCTAATGCAGCCACTAAGGGTGTAGAAGTTGGTATACCACAGTGTTTAAATGCTAAGGAACATAATGTAGCATGTTGGTTAATGCAAGGATTATCTTAACCTTTACATTAAACACTGAGGATATTGGTGTAGATTCTTGGATAAACAAGATTCTGGTTAACGATCCCAAAACGCACATCAAAATAAATGTTGTGATGGAATCAAAAATCTGTGGATCAGGCTTAAAATTCTGGTTTAGGTAATAAAATCAAATTGTCCTGCAAGCAATGTGACCAAATATGCAGCCAGATTTCTGCCAGAAGCTTTTTGACGGCAACAAAATACATGTATCGTTCAATAAGAGCAAGGTCTGGGTTTGGACATGGAGTAAAATAATCAAGTTATTGAGTTTCCCCATGTCTACATAAACTACAGCCATAACCCAAAGAGTCATGAAAGAAGTCCAACACATTTCGGCTTTGTGGTTCTGTTAAAAACAATTCTCTAATAAAGTTATACAAATATATTGGGTCCAATAGACTGAAATGGTTGAAATGAAAATTTGAGGCTTCGGAACAGAAATTAACAAACCAATGAGTGATGTCACAGTCGAAGCATGCAAGCTCAGTTATGAAGGAAAGACCAATTAAAATGTACAAAATAAGGGAGAAAAAAAACTTACCCTTTCATCATCCTATGAATAAGGAGAAAAAGAAGGAAAATATTTTAATGATTCAAAGTTTGAGCATGGAAAGCACATATTTATTTTAGAGCGAAACAACAGCAGACAGCTCACCACTGAGTATATTTCACAAGCGGTTTCTCTCTCACTTTGATACGGGTCACAGTACAAACGCATTTTCTGGATCTCCACCTGCATCCAAAGAACACTGGAGCTTTATTCACATGAATATTTGCCAAGTCAATGTGAAAAATAGACTGTTAACATAGCAGAATATTAAGTGTTTGTCCTGAAGGGTTTTTAATTTTTTTTTATTTCAGTCCCTTAGATAGAAAAGTATCTCGACAGCAGGCTGCCGCCCAGATCATGGGCGAAGCCGTAATAATAAAAAATTACCCGTCAACCGCTTTATTTTAAGAGCAATAAATGATTACCTAACATTAACTAATATTATCCATTTCGAGACAAGAGTAAAATAGCTTACAGCTTTCTTTCCTCTTTTGCCTTCTCTTGTATCATATTTGTTTTTTTTTTTTTTTTTTGTAATCCTCCACAAAAAAGGTAGCAAACAAACAAAACACACAGGTGAATTTCTAGATGAACATTTAGATTATGGATGCTGACATCATCAAGTACTGCAGCAAAATTGTCTCTCATTACCTCTTCCTTCTCTGCAGACTATAAAATATGTAAATTATTTTACTTAATTGATTGTGAGTAATGATGTATACACTGTAAGAAATAAAATATAGGTAAATATTTTTTTTAAAGTATTCAAAGGTAACTTAACAATTCGCCAGTGGATTAGTAGGATTTATGCTTAAATAATAACAATAAACAAATCTTTAATCTATTTCATGTGCATAATATCTAATTTAACTTAATTAAGGGCAGAAATCCTCATTCTATTGACAGATCATCTTATTCATCTGTTTTGATTATAGGCAAATAAACTTATTTTAAGACAATTTTACTTATTTTTTAGATTTTACAGGGTATATTTAATTATTTAAAAAAATTGTCTGAACTTCTTTTGAAACATTACATTATTTTTACATTAGCTTCTATTCAATAGGCCTTTACCTGCTTGGTTGCTGACATTAATGTTCCTTTATTGAGTTGATTAAGTTTATCTCATCTCCACCTTAAAATAATGTGATTAAGGAAGTTTATCTTCACTCACTCCACTGTTTATATAGTTGATCAGCCAATCAGATCTCTATGTTTCCTCCTTCAATTTTTCTAAGGACAGTTTATAAAAGAAGCTGCAAAAAATATAAGGTGATTATAAAAAGAGTAATAATAAAACAACTGTAACTCTCAACCAAACTGATGGTTAAATTGATTTAAAAAATGTGATTAAAAAAATAAATGTTTGTGTTGTTGCTCATGTTTTGTTTATTTAATAATTTAGGTGCAAGAGTGATTTTTTTTTTTTACCAAAAAGATTTATTTATTTAAAAGTTTATTTTGTTGTTGGGATTAATTAAATACAGACTCTATAATTACTTCAATGTATTTTTTTATGACACAATAATTTAAGAGAGGCTCACATATAGATCTATATAGTGATAAAAATACATCTATGACATGTTAATGACTAAGTCTACATGTATATATATATATATATATATATATATATATATATATATATATATATATATATATATATTATTATTATTATTTCTTTTTTACTATTTTGTTATTAATTAGAAAAATAAATAAATAAAAGAAACTAATAAAGCTGCTTACATACCGGCACAGTGACATGTGCCCCCCGCCTCTTTGACACCTGTGTCTTCCCGTTTATGTAAATGGGCTCCACAGGCTTCAGCAGGAAGTCTTGGACCATTTGATCGTCGAGGTAACCGACGACCCGCTGAGGCCTCACCAGAAGCTTCAGCTGATGCCATTTCCCGTCATACAGATCCTGTGAAAGGACAAGAATGAGACAAATGTCTCCATTATTTCCTGATTATCCTTAATGGTCCATTAAAGGTGTCAACCGTCTGCTCGTTCACTGCTCGTCTGATGTGGAAACAATCATCCTGCATGTTCATTTTCTCGGTCTTCCTTCTGTTGTTGTTGGCTGTGTGCACGTGTTTCATCTTTGTTTACAAGTCCACCAATGTGTGTTTTCCCAAAATGAGCTGCAAATCATTTTAACCAGTGAGCCATTAGGACCAAAACCTTCTTCTATTTTCCATCACAAACCTCTTCCTGAAACATAGAGAGGGAGGAGGAAACACAGCCGCCGCTGTTTGGTTTGGATTAGACCATCATTTCCAAATGACTAATGACAGGCTTATGCATGGTGTCACGTCAAGCAGGGTTTGATCAAACATGTTTAAATACAAATTCCACATGAGTGCTGCCCTGTTCCTCACGGTGGACAGTTAGGGCTGCATTTAGGGGAAAAAAATCAACCTGGCAAGTGCAACAGGCGTTTTTACTCCATGCTGCCATCAAAACAGAGCTGCGCTCCAACAGCTACACTTCTGCAGACCCGTTTCCACCGTGGAGGTGGTTGAGAAGAAGAATTTTCTTTGAGCATCTTCCTGACTTCTGTCACATTCCATCTTCACGGCCTTGACAGAGAATTGAACATGACAGGACAATATTTTTAACCAGCTCCTATTTTTACATCTGCAGCGGTCATATTCAGAGCGGAGACTTAATATTGGAGAAATAATGTATGACATTATACAACATTAGCCGCCGTAGATGTTTACATTTTTCAGAATCTGCATTTTGTTTTTAAATGTGTCTCTTCTCTGCAGCTAAGTCAGGGCCAAAAGGTTTGTTTCAAAACATTGCTTTTAAACTGAAAATAATGTAAGAAATGTTTAAAGCTATACTTTTGAAATTAATTTTTTCCTTTTTTAGGCTGGTCCCCCCTCAGTTTTGGGGGTGGGACTAATGATGACTGACAGTTTAACAAAATATTTATTTCAGTTTTGAATCTTTGCAAAAATATCTTCTGTTTTCATATATTTATGTATTCTGTTTTAAGATATGTTTCAGTTTTTTTCCAGCTAAAAAAAGGTTTCAGTTCAAAGCCTAATGAATATATATGCTGACTATTTATTAATTTGCCTATCACATCCAGCTGCATCAGTCGAAAAACTCCTGAGTTGCATTAATTCTTTCAGTGAATTGTGAGAATAAACAATCAACTGCAATAAAAGTGAATTCATGCCCCTGCAGGCCCCATGTGCTCAGTTTTCTAAAAATCTTTACCGTTCATGATAGTTACACCTATCTTACTTATCTTAGGTCTCGATATTTTCAAAAATCCTTACATTTTGATTAAAGATTAAACGGTGATGTTAGGCATCTGTTCCTCTTTTCAGTAATATGTTGTGTAAATGCTGTGAAGATGGTTGTGCTTCTAAGGCTCTTTTATCTCTCTTAGAATCTGCCACTATTTCAACCATCTTTTTTTTTTTTTAAGAATTCACTGGTGCCTATCTTCA